CGGCTTCTACAGACTCCCGACTCTGACTTGACTGCCAACTCTGACTGCCGACCCATAATGGACTAATAACAACAAATCAGTCTCATTATTATTGGTCCATTATAGGCCGGTAGTCAGAGTTGGCAGTCGAGTCAGAGTCAGGAGCCTGTAGTGTGATTACGGCTTTAAGATGATGTGAGAACTTAAGGCCAGTATTCATAGTCGGTTCTTATTTTAAGACCGTCTTAAGTAATGTCTTAAGTCGCTAATACGGCCTTCTGATTGGTTCATGATTTCCTAAGACTGTACTTAAGACGGTCTTGAATATAAAATCTGGGGGTCGATCATGTATTTCGAAACGAGATGAAAATTACAAAAATGAGCAAATTCACTAGTTATTGACCAATTAAGTTATGAGTATTCTAGTGAATTTGCTCACTTTTGTAATTTTCACATTATTTCGAGATATATAATCGACCCCCTGACTATGAATACCGCCCTAAAGGTGCATTCACATGCAAGCGTCAAGTGTCAAGCAGCGGAAGCAACAACCAATCAGCTGGACGATACGGGCAGTGGTGTAAAAAATCGCCTCGTTGATTGGTTGCTGCTTCCGCTGCTTGATGCTTGCATGTGAATGCACCTTAAGTCTAATATATTTTGTTACAACACAATATAATTAAATAAACAAAACTTTCTAAAAAAATGAGTTCGAATGTTTTAAATCATTGAAATTTTACAATATTCATTTTGAAATGTAATTTTTATTCAATAATTGATTGTAAGGAAATAAAAATATGTTATTTCTTTTTTTCTTTTATTTCCGCTAAAAATATATACAATTGTTTCACACCCTGATAAAAATTTATGAACTATCGACCTAAAGACACGAAATGTCGCATGGCAAGAAGCGACAGTGTAGTATCCAATCAAATTTTCGCTCTTACAGAAAAGCGGTTCGTACACATCAGAATACGTAGTGATTTGACAAAGAGGTTAAAATCAGATGTTCGAGTCGAATTTTTATCTTCAGAAAAATCTATGAAAATATATATTGAAAGGCGAAACTGAAATATTGTGAGGTAAATAAATTGCGAATTATTGTTTAAAATGACTGAAAATATCATAGAAGATTGTTGTTGCGCGATTAATCAGGCTCATCATTTGTTGATGAATTAAAATAATAAAGTATAAGTGAGAAATTTATTTATTATTGTGTGTTATTAATTGCGATTTGTCACAGATGAATCCTGTGTTACGCACGATCCGAGCTTGCGTCCGCTCTGTGAGACACGCCAGTACTCTACCCTCAGAAGCAGTAATATTTACGGAGGACGATCGCATGGTTGTCTGCTGGCATCCGGAGAAGACGTTTCCATACGAGTGTTCCTTACCTCTGCCCGAAGAAAAGCCCGACTTTTCCGTACTGCGTATCGGAGACAAAGAAGTTGCTGAGATGTTTAGGAGGAAGAAGGCATATCAGGTTGTGGAAGAATTGGCGAAAGTCACGTATACTACCAAACACAAATGGTATCCTAGGAAGAGAGACATAAAAGCAAAAGACACAGAACCTGACAGGCCATACTTGTAACATTTGACAAGAATCCGAAACGTTTCTTGGTGAAAAAGTACTGTATTTAATTCACTTTACATATGTAGTTATATTCTGCAAAACGTATATTAATAAATGTACAAAAATAATTGTTATACCTGTCTGTATAAATAATTGCTTACATATATGCTTAATGTGTTTTCCTTTCCTTTTAAGAATTTAAATACGATATCACTTAAGATGATTGCGCGTTTTTTATGTTATAAATTAAATAAATATATATTTTTATCAGACAATATTAGATATATATTATTTTAATGTTTTACTTAATTTTCTCTCTTAACTCGAAGCACTGATCTTGCACCGAACGTTTATTGTATTAAAAATATTTTATACACATTTCTATATATTATTTACTTTATCAAATTGCACATAATTACATATTTTGCAAACTTTTAATTAATAAAAATACTATATCGTCACATTTATATCTGTGTATCAAAAAATTAATGTACAATACATTTATATCTATATAGATAAAGTCTAGCGCGCAATATTCAAATCGATTTGTTATATTACATCTACCTTACTTTGCTTATGTTATAAATGGGAAGGGAAAAGCTGACTCTCTCCCTCGTGCATAAAAATTTGTAAAGCTTTGTATAATAAGTATCTACCAAATTTCTGTTTTTGTTGCATGCTCCACGTTGCCGCAATACCATAGTATTCCCCACCTTTAGAGTTTCCTAGATATTCTTTTCCTATCGCATCTATCATGGCAGCTTCTCTTGTGTAAGCCTCTACTGGGATAATATTTTGAAAAACATGCAAACAAATCACGCCGCAATCGTTGTCCCATATATCGAGAATGCAATTGATTTTTCTATTTGTACTGTTACCACCACCCACCCACGTCTTGAAAGCGTCGTAGAGATGAGCAAAAGGTCTGGAACGTTTGCCTTTACCAATATAAAATATAGCGTTAAGAAAGATTGACCAAGCTTCTGATTCTGTAAAATGAACACTGCGATTTGGCAGATCCTGCGTTATACGCGGGTCTAGCAGCAGATATGTGAAAGATGTTTTTGATGTGCCTTCACGCCATCTTCGAGATGGATTTGGCGATGCAAATTCTTGAAATACTTCCTTCTCCAGGCTTTTATAGGTATCCAGATGATTTAACCAAGCTCCAAACTCTAAATAAGATTTGATTTTGTTTAGCTTTGAGATCTGATTTTTTGGAGAATTCTGCAGATTTGGTATGGACGAAGCAGAATTGGCATCCCTGATATTTCTTAAACGTAAAAGACGTTTTTGATAGAGCTGTCTAGTTGTATTAGTGATTGGACCAGGTTGATCGCCAAACTGTCTGAGTTCCTGTCTAAGAGCAACATCATCGATAAACAGTATTTCTTCTGGTAAATTTTGAGAAGTGGATGTACTTGAAACACCTATAATAGATAAATTATTTTTTAATTCTATCGATATAATAATCCTATATTTAACAATGACATTAAAATTATTTGTAGCTTACCAGACATTTTGCTTCTAACATCATATTCACTATTAGAACTGAAAAATTGATAATTTTTTGCATGTAAATTACGAGTCTTTTTTATATTCATATTTAAATCTTCATTTAATAATTTCTTAGTATCACAAGCAACACAATCTACGAAATTTTCCTTATGCAACGAATCAGATTCAGTTGTACATGTATTCAATTGATAGTTTCAATTGAATACATCAGATTCAATTGTACAATATATTTTATATTAGTATCCATTGGTTTTTCCAGTAAGTTTGATAAGATAAATTTCTTATCTTTTTCTTTGCAGAGGTGCGATATGATTCAATAATTCAACTTAATATAGATTGTAAAGTAAAAATAAAAATTGTAATTGTAAACTCACTTAAATGGAGTAACACAAAGTCGCCGTTCTAATAAAATTACACCTTCTTCTGGATCTTCATATTTATATTCTTGAGTACTGACGTATGAAAGCAGAGACCTAAAATTCATAACAATCAAGTAATTGTTCTTTCAGTGATATCGTTTTTAAAATATACTGTGCTGTACTCACGAATCATTTTGAGCATTACACACATCTAACTCTTTTGCTTTTAGTAAACCTTCTGTTCCCTTAGAATCGATACTTCTTGAAGAATATGATTTTTGAGAGCCCAGTACATAAATCTTTTTCTTACATTGGACAGGTAAATTCGTAGCAGGCAGTGAATCATTTTCTATAGGCGATTTATATAACGGAGATAAGTGAAATCTATCACCATACCAATTTTTTGCATGTAAATTACAAGTCTTGCTTATATTCATATTTAAATCTTCATTTAATAATTTCTTAGTATCACAATCAACGCAATCTACGAAATTTTCCTTATGCAACGAATCAGATTCAGTTGTACATGTAGATTTTATATTAGTATCTACTGGTTTTTCCAGTGCTTTATCAATAAGAAAATTTTTTCTGATTGTTATAAATTCAGTGTTTATTTCATTATTTCCAGACTTGATATATTTTTTATTATTGCTAAAATTGCTAATAGGTTCGTTCTCTTTCTCAATTTGATCAAAACTGCTATTTGTATCTAAGAGATTTACGTCACTGTTATTATCGGTTACATCAGTCTCGTCGTATCTTTCTTCATCCAATTTTACTGCCAAATTACTTTTATGTTGATTTTGTCGTTCTATTTTTATAGGTTTGTTAAAATTTAATAATGAATGTTCACTACTCGTATCTAGAATATCGTAGCGAGTTGTATCAGCTATCTCAGAAAAAATTGTTTTATTTAAATCAATTGGCTTTAATATATTATTAGAAATAAATTCATCAGAAGTGATATCGCTATCATATCGATAAGGTTCATATCTTTTTCGGCCAGAATGAAACTTGTATATCAATCGTTTCTTTCTTCTTGGTGTTGATTGAGCTATATGTTTTTTATACCAATTACGTTCAGGATATTGTATCTCAGTTTTGTACTTTTTGAATACATTCGGTGAATCTTCATGTGACGTCTTTGTTAGATTTTTCTTCCTCGTACAAACCGGTGTAAAATTAGGCGATTTGCTAACAACAGAATCATTACAAATATGCGACGGTGTTAATGGAAATCTACAAGCATTTCTTCTCTTTCTATGACTAGGTGTATTAAAGTTTGGTGACATGCTGATGATGGAATTATCCAATATACGAGTTGGTGTTAAAGAAATTTTGTCGGAGATATGTTTGCATTTGATCTTGGAAGTGTTTTGTCTATTATACTTTGAATATTGTTTTCTCATATTTGTGCTAGGTTTTAAAATATCTTTACTATTCTTTGTTTTACGTGGAGAATTCTTTGATTTTTTATGATATTTATAGCGTGCACCTACACCTTTCATTAAATGCAGTCTGTTATAAAATGGCGTGTCAGAATTGCTCGTTGTAATACTGCTTTCCTCTTGTTTATTTGTTTTACTGTGCAAGGTCTCGTTAATAGTGCAACTACTTGTTAACGATGACGAGAGATGATTAATGATTTGACTGACAAGGCACTTTTCTTTCTGCATGACATCGGAAAGATATAGATTTGCAAAATCAAAATCGAGATCGACAAATGAGCAATTTGGCATTTCTTTCTTACCAGTCCGCAAAAAATTATTCTGTATTTTAGCAGTTGGTGCATGATTAATACTAGAGGAGCATCCATCTAAATTATTTGATAATTTGCACTTAGTTTCAATAGCAGCACATACATCTGGTGTATGACTTGAGTCTACGATCATCGAGGAAGAGTTTTGCTTATAATTGGAAGAATTGGTAAGCTCACTGTTCTGTTCCATATCATCTTCATCTAATACCGTATCTTTCGACGCAACGTATTCGGCGATTACATCCCCATTAGTAACTAAAACTTTGTCTGCAATATTAAGAGCAAAGATAATAAATAGTAATTTAAAATTATCTATGAATCAAGTGAGTGTAGAGATTACTTACCAAGCATCATATTGTACTTTGGTTTGTCATCCTCGTTTTGAGTACTCTCACAATAATTTGCAAGCATCGTTACAACATTAAAATATTTTCCGTCGAAGGCATAGTGAAATGGACTTCGTCCATCGTTATCCAAACATAACGGATCACCACCATTTGCCAGAAGTAACTGCAATATGTTTACTCTGCCCCAAGCTGCCGCTACATGAACCGGAGTCATTCCGTCATTTGATCTAAGAATATATTGCACTTGTTGCACTTGCGTTTGCATAAATATAAAGGATCATTGTATTGTAATTTAGATTATACCTCACATTAGGATTGCCACCGTGACGTAGGAATAGTTTAGTCACTTCTTCTGCGAATTCTTCCGAATCATTGCCGATAACTAAGTGAAACGGAGTAACTCCGTGTATTGGAATCAAGATATTAGGATCCGCATCTTTATTTAGCAAAAGGGTTGCAACTTGCCTAAGAAAAGATTTTTCAAATTAAATCATCTGCAATAAATTTTACTCCCATCTGCAATCTGGGCCTTTTTTTACTGTTCTGGACTTTAAAAAAATGTGGAAAAATTCAGGTTTGCTTTTCAATTTCTCCATTACGTGACCAAATAGGTAGTTTCTTAACTCAAATGTTAAAATCTTTATTTAATAAAAATTAAAATTTGAACAGAAATGCAGAAATTTGAGAATGAAATTTTGCTTACGTAAAAAAAATTCAGATTACAAACAGAGGGTTGATAATCTTTTAATGTTTTCTTAAGAAGTTCAAAGGAAATATAATTATGGAAATTTATATATCTAACAATTATTTTATACCTTATATTATTGTCCTCAAGTCCGTCGCAGAGGGATGAAGCCAAAAATAAGCCACCTTTAGTTTTTGGAGTCGACAACATTATTTCGTTCGAAGTGTCCAATTGTACATAGTAATATCCGTCAAGATACTTTCCGCATAACAGAACGCAAGTGCGATAGTCGTTTGCTTTTCTTATATTATTCCATTACACACAATAACATACAACATAGCAAAGTGGAGTAACAATACCGGCGATTATCGGTCGAACAACGTAAATTCGTTCGCTACTTTCGAGTCGCTCCAAACAAATCGAGATTCAAACTTTCGTGTAACAAAAACATTG